ATTGCTAAAGTGGGAAACTATTCTCGTACCAGCAGCAATGGGAAAACAATATCAAGACAATCCACTCAGATCTATTTGAAATATAATCGCCCCCTGAAAACTTTTTTTAAAACTCCACAACAAAATTAACAACAACAGCATTATCAGTCCTCAAGAACACAGTCTGGGGAACACTGGTAACAGTAATCACTTCAAGGTTCGATGCTATTAAATGTTGTAACAGAACAGCACCTACACTTTTTCTACAACACCTCTAGTAAGTTGTTTTGTTTTAGTTCCTAACTAAAAATAAGTGTTTTCTCAGAGCAAAATGACCTAAAAAACACAGAAAAGCAAGAAGAAAATGGAAAAGGACTTAAAAGATCACCACCAAAAGACACAACCGGTTCAACATTTTGGCATACAGCCAGCCTTCCAACCTTTTTCCACATGTTCATATTTTTTTAACATGGAAATAGCTCACACAAGGATATTTCATATACTCCCTTTTTCACATGAATAAATACATTTTAAAGGGGCACATTACTAACGACCAGCACTTCACAAACCATCCTCTGCGACACCCCAGCGCTTCTAAGGAGGTGTCCTCAGGGGCCGGGCCGGCTTACTCACTGGGCACACCGCCTCGGTGTGTTTTAAGCTTAATTTCCACAGTTTCCACAGCCCACGAAAGTGTTTTAAGCTTAATTTCTTTTAAAATCAGAAGAAAAAAGGGAAGTCACAATAATAAATCCAGACCTGGTTATATTCATCTTTACATCAACACAGGCATAGGCTATCATTTTTAATACGTATAAGTAGAAAAAGGTACAAATAAAGGCAAAAGTAATTAGGAAGCATGAAAATCATAATGCAGCCTACGGGGTTTTATATTTTTTGGCATTTGCCCTTCACTCTTTGAGTTGTCCGTGACCTAACTCTTCAATCCACAGGTTGTTTTTTTCTTTCCAGGATTTTTTTTTGGTGGAGAGGGGGCAAGAGGGGAAAGTCTCTGCTAAGAAAATCTTTCCCTATCCATGACTGTGTTTTATTAAATCATGTTTTTCTCTATTTCCTTATGTAACTGAATTTTATTTTAATGTATGATATATGATGTATGATCTGTATTTTTTCCAAATCTTTACAAATTATACCAATCCATTTATTGAATAATCTATCTTGTCTTTAAAAATGTCACTTTTAGTAATTCTTAGTTTTCTACTATGAGTCTATCGATATGTATAATCCCCAAATACCCTAATACCTAGTATGAAAAGCTCTCTTATATTTTCTTCACTATTATCACAAAATTATTCCTTCAAATTGACTTTAAATTTATTTTTGTCATGTTCCAGAATTAAAGAAATATATAATTATCTGGAACTTGATAGGATTTGCATTAAATTTAAGAATTAACCTGAAGACATTTATTTCCAATATTTAGTCATCTCATAAAACAACACTGTCTGTAACTAAATTATATATTTAACTGTCAATAAACTTCTGTTGTCTCTTTAAACAAGTCCTACATATTTCCTATGAAGTAGATTCCAAGCTACCTTGAACTCTGGACAAATAAAAACCACTTTATTCCTTCATGCTTTTCAAAACGGTTATAGCTAGTTTATTGGGAATCTATCTATTTTATACATTTATCTTATAACTGTATTCTAATACTATTTAATTGATTCCCTTACTGTTCAAAACCAGACAATCATATCATCTGAGCTGCTTCCCTGTTCAAATATTTATTCCTAAATCTTTTCCTAACTCAGTGCATTAGCTGGAACCTCCAAAACAAGATACAGTGTCAGGACTGATAAATCTTATCCCCACCCTTCTCCAGTGTGCTCTGTGCTTGGTGGAGACCGACCTACATGGACTGTGTATCCAATTAAGCACAGCCAGTAAGAGGCACTGGCAGAGACAGGAAGTCGGCAGGAGAATATGGTTAATTCCCGTGAATCCCACTCCAACGGGATCCCACTCCATCGAACCGCCTGGTGTTGGCAGTTTCCCTCTATTTTAACTCCCACACAGTCAGCATCTCCTAGGGCAACAGCTTTTCTCCCCAAGATCTAGTTACATTCTTCCCTTTACATCTTCTACATCCCTACAAAGTTACAGTTTTATAATATAAAAAAAAACTTCTTTGAAGCTCTTCTCATGGTGAAAACAGACAATCTGAAATTTAGTATCATCTTATATTCATGTTTAAGTTTCAGTATGTAGTAACTTTAGAATGTAATAGTCACAATACCATTACCTTCAAAATATTTTATAACTACTTCAGGTCTCTTCTTTGGCACAAATGTACTTAGGAGAGTGCTTTAAAAGTATCGGCTCATTTAAGGGGTTTGTTATCAATATCTATAGTCTTACCACTTTGTGGTCAAAGAATGAGACCTGCCCTGTTTCTGCTTTTTGGAAATTATGAAAGTCTTCTTTTGGCCAAACGGTCAACTGGACATCTGCAATGAAGATTTATGCTCTGTTCTGCATAGAGCTGAAGTTTTATCTATTAAATCAACCATACTAATTATTCATTTGAACTTCTATAATCATGAAGACTTATCAGAACTTTAATACCATAATTCCTGTTCCAATATCTGGACTTCTGCCACTTAAGCTCCGATGCTGCTTGCAAAGCATAACTTTAGCCCTTTGGGGTTCCAAAACCACCCGCGGAGCAAGCGGCACCCCTTGTGCTGATTGCACTCTTTGCTAAACCATACTCTGCATTCCTGTCAAATAACACTCCCTGCACTATAGTGGTGTGATCAGAAAACAGCTTTTTGGTTCTACAGGCCTGGGCTGAAACAAGGATGTTAACAAATGCTTACTCATGCATCACCTATTGTTCTCATTGCAAACCCCACTTGCTTGACCTCTGAGTCAGCCAACCACTGAAAGTACAGTGGCCCCACCAGTCAGAAAAGAAATAATGGAAGCTTATGGTCTTGTTTTCCCTGGCAACCCATCTCTTTGACGGTCAGCTCCTTCTACAAAAGTTGCCTTATCCCACCCATTTTGAAAAATATCTTTGGTTCATACCATGGGCTATGTTTCCTGGTTTGCAAATCATTATCTGAATAAACTCTCTTTTAATTTTCCAAAAGCTTCCTCCAGACTTTTGTTTACATTTATATATATATATTGTTTATATATTGTAATCTGTCAATGATTAAAGAGATTTTTAAAGTTTCTCTAATATAAGTGACGATTTTCCCTTAAGGTCCTTTTCACATTAAATATTTTAATAACATAAAATAAACAACTATAACAAATGTTCACTAATGATCATATATCTTATAAATGAAAATGATCATTTTTGACTTATTTGAAGCCTCTTAGTCACAGGTATGCTTCCTAGATATAATTACAGTAGTCTGTGACTGCTTGCTGATATATTTATTATGTTAACATTTTGTCTTCCCCCCACTGAAGTGTAAACTCTATAAAGGGCAAGTCTTTGTCCAACTCACTGAGATATTCTAAGTGCCTGAAACAAAGCCTCGCACGTGCTCAACAACAGTGAATGAAGTACGGGCCGCTCTTCGCCGCCCCACACCATTCCCAGTTCCTCTCCAGCACTGCTTCACGACATCCTTCCTCTGAATACTCCTTTTTGCACCTCAGTCTCTTGTTTTATCTCACTTTTGATTATTTATTCCTCATTCCCTGAATTTATGTATTCCTCAACCTCACTGCCAGCCAAAGCCAACACTAAATTTACTTCCCAGAATCTCCCATGGAAAATCTTTTACAAACATGACATTTCTTGTGAATTTAACCGCATTTTTATTAAGTATAGTTTTTTCATAAGCACTACTCTAATTCTTTCATTATTAATTTTTTCAGCCTAGTATTTGCTCAAAAACATATCGATTCTGCAGTAAATGCTACCTGAGTGCTTCCCCTTTACACCAGGGTGTAATTACAATTATTCTCTCAGATCTAAAGATAAAGTGCTGATGGACCTAAGTTTTTATTATCTTTCATTGCCCCAGGAGGTTTGAGAGAAGTGACTCCTTGGGGCCATGGATAGTCCCCCATACGAAATCTTCATCTGTATTGATTAAAGATGAACATCTTTCATACATAATTTTTTTCTCTGGCTCAACTTCTACGGCACACATGCGCTGTGGCTGTATCCAGCTCTCTGCTTAGTACGGCTGCCAACTACATTAAGATGCAACTTTGTTGACTTACAACAACTCTGCATCAAAAAGAAGCCAACGACTCAATGGTTCTTGTTCACCATGAGATCCTCAATTAAATTATTTTTGAACCCTGGCAAAAGAAGGGGTTCTAAGATCACAGGTTCTGGATCACAGGAACCAGACTTCCTGATTTCAAACTCCAGTTTTACCACTTCCTTAGATGCATGACCTCAGTTTTCCTCACCTACAGAGATGAAAACATACCTACGTCTCATTAGGCTGCTGAGCATTAAATGATTAATACCTTTTAAGTAGTTAGAACAGCACCTGATACAAAAAAACGAGTTCCATAAACGTTAACTCTTCTCTCTCCTCCTCTTTGTCTTGCCTCCCACCTTTATGTATAAAATTGGAGATGGCGGTAGGACTGTATTAGGGTTTCTTCTGCTTACAGTGACACTGCAGTGCTTTCTCAAGGGGTTCCTGAGTAAATGCTTCATACTGTCCTTCCATCTGTATTCCAACCCGCACCAAATCGAGCAGAAACCCTCCCCTGATTTCTAATTCAGATGTAAATTTTCCCACGTTCTGGTATCTTTTGGTCTGTCACCTGCTTTAAAGAAGAGTGTAACTACCCACCTGTGCCTACTACATAAATGTTTCTTGCTGAAAGCCCTGTAGAATTATTTATTTAATTAAAAACAGACTGTTCATTAGTGTATCATGCACTGATTTCAGCAGAGCCTGGAATAAATTGTCCTGGTTTTTTCTGGGATATGTGTATGTCCCACAGTTTAAGGGACATCGATCTACAAAACCATATTAAAAAGAGTAAGAAGAAAGAATTCGATTACTCACGATGCTCCTGAATTCATGATGCAGTTCTGAGCTCCACAAACACAATCTCTCCCATCATCATGGTTCATTCCGAGGTTATGACCCAACTCGTGAGCAACAATGGATGCAAATGTCTCTACTGTGATTTGCCCAAACTGTCCAAATACAAGAAGGTATTAATTAGGTTTCTGAGCAAAAAGGACATGTTTTGTTTCTGAGATTATTTTTTCACAACATCAGTCCTTATACCTTTCAGTCTAGTAAGAAACGTGTGACTCAACACACTGATCATGAAGATAGACCCTTTAAGCAATAAATCAAATACTGTACTTTAGATTACTATGGTGCTTTATGGGAAAACAAATTCATGGTTCTACTTTAACTTTCTTATATGGAGTCTCTATGTCCTCATCTATAAAAAGTAAGGAGCTAATAAACACATAATAAGTATTAGGTTTCTGAGCAAAAAGAATATGTTTTGTTTCTGAGATTATTTTTTCACAACATCAGTCCTTATACCTTTCAGTCTAGTAAGAAATGTGTGACTCAACACACTGATCATGAAGATAGACCCTTTAAGCAATAAATCAAATACTGTACTTTAGATTACTATGGTGCTTTATGGGAAAACAAATTCATGGTTCTACTTTAACTTTCTTATATGGAGTCTCTATGTCCTCATCTATAAAAAGTAAGGAGCTAATAAACACATAATAAGTTATTAGAATACTTAATCCAGTCTCTAGAAAAACCACCCCTCTGCCACTTCTACACTGTCCCTAAATATACCCAAAATATAGTTTTAAGGACAAGGGGAGGAAGTGTAGACTCAATGAATGCCTGACGCTGTCCTCATGCAGAGACCCAAAGGTGAACATCAAGATCAAAAACATACCACGTTAATCCCGCCTGCGTGGCTCCTGGAACACACTGTTCCCACGAAGGCCATTCCCGCAGTCCCACCGAAGCCTTTCTTCCTGAGTGAAAAGAAAAGGTAAAAGTTGTAAGAAGTGCTTGAGAGGATAAAGGAACACACTGCTCCTCTATCTGTGGATAATCTTCAAGAGATCGATAGAACCTACAAAACCTGGGAGAAGATGGCAAAATTAAATGACATTTTAAAGTCAGAATACAATTAAGCCTTCTCTCTTTTATTATCAGAAAATAAGATTAATATTACAAATTCACTCTTTAAAATGAAGATGCATTTTAGAAAACACAAAATATTTTCTACCTTCTAATGAAAACCTCCCTGAGATGCATTCCATTTATATAGTCAAACACTCTAGTGACAGGTAATAAACCCAATGACCACATGTGCACACAGGAGGCTGCCGGGCAGGGAGCCCAGTGGCCTCCACACGGTCCCTCACTTGGATCTCAGGACCTATTCCCTCTGCCTGGACCCGTCCTCCCCAGTGACACCCCTAACTCGGCCGCTCACCGCCTTCGGGCCTTTACTCAAAAGTCATCTTCTCACTGAGAATTTGCCACGTTACCTACAATTTCCACTTTACTCCTCCAAGCCTTTTATTTTTCCGCCTTACAACTTACCTTTATTTAACATATTATATATGCTTATTCATCTCATTCATGGCCAATCACCTCCACCAGAATATGAACTCCATGAGAACAAGAAGTTTTATCTGCTTTGTTCACTGCTATACCCCAGTGTCTACAGGTATAATCTTTTATACCCCTAATAAATATCTTTTAAATGAATGAATAAATCCTTTTCTGGGGCATCTGAACAGCCAGGAGAAAAGGACTCCAGATATTGACACAAGGGGATTTCCAAGAAAACACATCAGCCAGATGGCCACACAGTGAACCCAAAAGTCTCCAAGCCCCACTCAGGTACTCAATGCTTCCAAATGGCTTTTCAGCACCCCATGTTAACCACAAACAGAAACCAGACATCATCTGACATTTGGGAAATGCCTCTACCACAACACATGGAGACCAAAAGGAAGTGAGAACACAGCTTGGTAAGGTGCACTTGGGCAAGGCCCGGGGGGTATGCTTGATGTCTGTTCCTTTTAGGCTTACGTGAACTAGATAGTATGCTCCCTATCTGAGGATACATGCAGGTACAATTTTACTAAAAATTAATAAGAAGGTCATGACCAGCCCTGGCTGGTGTGTGGTTCAGTGGATTGGGTGCCTGCCTGAGAACCAAAGAGTCACCGGTTTGATCCCCAGTCAGGGCACATGCCTGAATTGTGGGCCAGTTCCCCAGTAGGGGGCACGTGAGAGGCAACCACACATTGATGTTTCTCTCCCTCTCTTTCTCATTCCCTTCCCTTCTCTCTAAAAATAAATAAAAACTTATTTTTTAAAAGGTCATGACCAAGCCTTTTTAATTACAGGGCCATAAAAATCCATTTTGGCATTTCCAGTGCCTTGCTTTGAACTAACTCATATAACAAAAGAAAACAAAATAAAATCAAGGGAAATTTCTCCTCTGAAAAAAATTTGTATTTTAGGCATCTCATTGAAGGAGGCAAAAAAAAGTATCATATAAAGTAAAACATGTTCTCGGCAAAAAGCCAGCCTATCAAGCCAGAAAACTTTTAAGAAGCATAAAATGTTTTAAATATTTTTTTAAATAGTGACTTCTTTTTTTTTAAGGTTTTATTTATTTATTTTCAGAGAGAAGGGGAAAAAGGAGATAGTGAGGGAGGGAAACATTGATATGTAAGAGACAAATCAACTGGCTCCCTCTCACAATGGCCTACAACCCAGGCATGTGCCCTGACTGGGAATCAAACTGGCGACCTTTCAGTTTGCAGACTGGCTCCCAATCCACTGAGCCACACCAGCCAGGGCTGTTTTAAATATTTTAAGTGAACATTTTGTTGTAACTTTTTGGAATATACTTGTATAAAGTGTTAATATAAGTTTAAGTTTTATTATGGTACCATGAAATTGCTATATGAAGACAAAAAAATTTTTAAAGATATCAGTAATATTTCAAAGAAAGTAGGAAAACTATTATACCCATGAAGTCAAAACTTAATTATATAAAAAATTTTCTGGGGAACAAAAAAACTATTAAATATTAAAAATAATACAGCCAGAAATTAAAAACTCAATATAAAGCTTAGAAGATAATTTTAAGAAAATATCCCCAAAAGTGGACAAAAAGACAAAGAGAAGAAAGGAGTCAACAGATAATAAAATTAGAGGATAAACACAATATTCAATTGCCAAGTAAAAGGAATCCCAGAAGAAATGAAGAATAAAAATAAAGAAGATGAAATTATCTACAAAACAATTTGAGAAAAACGCCTAAAACTACAGAACATCAGTTTCAAGACTGAAATTACCACTAAGCAGACAGTACATCACTGACTAGACACCTACAGCAAGAGACCTAATCATCAAGAAACTTAACGACACCTGGGAACTAGAGAAGATCCTCTATGTTCCCAGAGAAAAAGAAAAAGGCCACACACTCAGGATCAGGAATCAGAATGATTTAAGGCTTCTCAATAGTAATACTACACGTGAAAAGATAACAAACACATTCATGCTTTCAAAACTCTGAAGGAAAAAGATCACATGCCTAGGATTTTATACCCATCCAAGTAATCAAATAGTTACAAAACAAACTAGAAAGCACACCTGGGAAAGACAGTTACTCAGACACCAGGATAATCAGGTCAAAATGAGGTCATTTTACAATCTGTTCTGAGACTGTGAAATACATTTTCTGACATGCAAGAGGTCACAATTTTTCTCTCCATATGTCCTTTCACGAGACGAACTAGAAAAAATGTCAAAGTGAGAGTAACCCAAACCCAAGAAACAGGAAGGAGGACATGGGATAAAGGTGACGAGGAATCCCACACACCAGACAGGTCTCACTATCATACCCTCACTTGTCCTACTACATGAGACTGTTTTCCTTATTTAAACGAATGCTCAAAACCCCACAAAAATCATTTAAAAAGCGAGCAAAAATCATTATTCTGACCATCTCACCAGCAGTACTTTTTTTAAAAATCACTCACAGAACCAGCTGCGCACTGTCGTGTCTCCGACGTGTTATGAGGAACTTTTCCCGCCACTGCACGAAGTTCCCCAGCACATCACCGGCCCCTCCCATTATGCTGATCAGGTTTCCATTCGTCCAAATCTCCAGTCCAACTAGCACAATCCGAATGTTTAACATAATGTACATCTAAGAAGAAAACAAAAGTATGAAAATATATTAAAGTATGGATGTTTTAACTTACAATGAAGTAACATAAGTACTTAAATTAAAAACAGGACTCCTCCCCTCAAACAAGATTTCCTTCAATATGAGACCCTAACCTCTCAAGGGGTTTCCTCATCCACAAAATAAAAGTAACATAAGTTCAAAATCCTTTTAATCATCCACTCCAACATTTGACAAACTCTGGAAATTTAGACTTTCTGGTAAGTTAGTACCAAAACTTACCCTAACCTAATGGAGGCCTATTTATGGTCCACATTTATCTCAGTTAATGGAAATATTCACACATTTCACTACAGAGAAACCAATGGGTTTGATTACATTATGCTACCCCAAGATCCTGTGGGAGGAGTTTATATAATACCTAGTGAACCATGTTACCTTTGTGGACCCTAAGGAAGATAATCCCTAGTAAGAAAGGCTCCTAGTGGCTGACTGGGCTCGAATTTAAAAGTAGAGCCTGGCTTTCCGGCAGTGACAACCTCTCCACAACAACACACCTCTCACTAAGGCCCTCCTTCATCCCTCTCCAGGAGAGAAGAGGAGACACGAGAAGAAGCATCTGGTGCAGAGCCCCAGTTCCTACTTCACGGATGTGAAATGCCCGGGATGCCATAAAATCACCACTGTCTGCAGCCCTGCAGAAACGGTAGTTTGTGTGTAGGCTGCTCCTCCCCTGTCAGCCTACAGGAAGAAAAGCAGGGCTTCCGGAAGGATGCTCCTTCAAAAGGAAGCAGCACTGAAAACACCCTGAATCAAGTGGGGAACCATCCCCAAAAACATTTTTTGTATACAAAACAAAAATAAATGAATATATAAATAAAAGCAGGGCCTAGTAGCTGTTTCTAAACAGGGCCTCTCCCACAAAGCTCATGTCATGGAGAAGGCTGCACTGAACTGCCTGCCTGCACTGTGCTTCTGCCATCTGGGCCTGCCCTTATAAAGGAGTTCCTGCATTGTATTTCAACCCACAGGACTGAGGCTTTCCCCATCCAGTCAGAGCTGTGCAGCTGTATTCCCCACCAGCATCTTCACAGACCAATCAGGGCAGCTCCATTCTGACCAATCAGGACAGTGCTTTTTGGACCCATCAAACTGCAAAGATCTGGAGTCCTCACTTGCATAAGGATGGGCCAATCAGGGACCAGGGACAGGTGCTTCTGTTTATACAAGTCAGCTCCCCTCTTGCTGAGCAGACCTGCACAAAGTGGAGCAAAGCAGAGGAGAACTGTCTATCTGCAGAGGGGCCTCGCTCCAGAACTTCCTCCTAGCCACCCTGTTTCACAGCCATGCTGCTTCATAACTGAGCTGTAACACCACCACGCTTTGCTGGTCTCACTGCTATGCTATATCACAATTGAGCTATTTGCACTGGTGAAGTTTCCTTCTTCACTCCACCTCAAACTGGAGATGCCTGTCAGTGTTAAATTGGTGGCAACAACCACTGGTTGGCACCTTTCTAAACTCTTATCTAAAATTCTAATTACATATAGCCCCAAACTTTCAGATAAAGGAATCTAGAACTCATATCTGTTTCATAAAAATAATGTGAAGAATAAATAAGTTCTTAAATGTAAAGCACTCAGTCAGTTTTGAGAGCATCATAAATGCTCAACAGAATACTATTATCATCATCATTATTACTAGGCTTGGTATTCATCAGGGAAACACCTTACAGATGAAATCATCTTATGAGAACTTCTATCTAATTTTCAACACCTCCCACTGGATGACTGAACCCCAAAATCTCAAACCACATTTCTCTGTCTCTCTCCCTCTCTCACACATACACACACACAAATTTTGCCATATCATGTTTTCAGAGTAGGAGGCAGCCTTAATCAAAATAAGGTTCTCTCAGTAAAAATTCAAAGATATTTTCATAATGCAAAGTACCTTAGCCTATGTACTCTAAAGATAAAGTAGATGCTAATATTAAGTCTCTTGCTTGTCTCAAAATCTTACCACAATTACACTTTCCTTTCAAACATAAAAATAGTTGCAAAAAGAACTTTAAAAAAAAGACCCCTGGAAAACTGAGTCATTTAGGTTTGGGGATAATTAGAGCTCAAAATGAGACAATTTTTAAATTCTGTTCTGGGACTGTAAAAGAATATGATAAAATAATTCTAAGAGAAAATACAACTTACACTATCCAAATAGTTTGCTAAACGAATCATCTCTTCTCTCACTGCAGTCTGATTTCTTCCCATCATGTCATACTAAAATGCAAGAGAGGAAAATCTTTACTACCAAAGTAATTTCAGAAAATAATTTTCTATAATCTTTTACAGTGAACATTAAATTTTAAATATTTCCTCTGAACCAAAACCTGAGACATTTAGACATTCATCAGCATTTCGATTTATAAATCTAAAGATATATTTCAGTGATAAATAGGAATAAAAAACAGGCACAAGTGTGAATAATTAATAATGAAAAAGCACAGAAGTCTTCATTTTTCTCTAAATTAGTACAAACTTTAAAATGAATTTTCTTCTCAATTTACTTATTCACTTTAATGTAAAAATATTTTCAAGCACTTCACAAAGGCAGAGTTTAAAAACAATCAAAATGCATGAGAATAAAAACAATGGATTTCCTGACTCCTTAGGCTAAAAACATTACCAATAAACCTAAACTTTGGGTATATTAATGAGAGATTAGTCAATGTTTAGTATTAGAAACATTATATGTAAATAAAACACACAGATATTTAAAAGTTTAACCATATTAAGCCAAACAGTCAATATGACAGATTCTTTTCTTTGAGGCCTAAACCTAAATATCTATTTTCACACAACTAACTTAATAAACAATGAAAAAAATTTAAGAATGTATGTTTCACTTTATGAGAAGGGCATTAAAATAAGATTATATCAGATCTGATCAGTTAGGCATTTTACCATGATTCTCTTAAAAAATGAAAAATAAAGTTGAATATATTTAACGAAGTTCGATTGAAATGAAATCATTTTTCTTTGGCATCATTTTCTACAAGTATATAACAACTGTATTTGGAGAAAGTAATGAAGAAAAACGTGTCAAATCTGTATTTTGTCCCTTATCCAAACCTTCCACAGAAACATCTGCCCCTGGCTGGGGCAGCATTCACGCTCGTTCACACTCCCTCTCCTGCTTCCTTCTGCCTCTTGAACGTAATGAACTCAAAATGAGCAAATCTGAATACGTTTCTGACTCTCAATAAATAGGGATTTTCCCCCAAACTAGATAAAATAATGGATTGTTTAAAACCGTACAGTCCTTGAAAACGATCTCTTCAGCTTACAAGACAGGAACTGCCAATCATGCAAACTTTCTACAAACAACTTCTTCACACAAATAACAAAGCTGTCAGTAGAAGCTAGACAAAAACATGTCAAAAAATCTATGTTAAATTATATGACAGCTATATCTAAGACTGAAAATCCTATAAATGCTAAAACAGATCCATTATTTTTCTCAGTTAAGTGCAATTCTTAGTAGGAATATGGAAAAACCCTGGTATTATCACGGACAGTGAAGTTAATAGTATTGATAAAAGCTAAGATGAACCACCCTCCTCTATTCCCTTCTAACACATGCCAGGACCTGGAATTTTCTAGCTCTTCAAACGAAGTTTAGGTTAGCAGAAATTATAGAAAGCAAAGCAATTCTATTAGGCAGCAAACCAATATTTGATTAGCTACTTAGTCCTTTAAAGTCATCTGAGAAGGTCTCAAGACTCTGAGAGGCAGTACAGTTTTCCTTAAGAAATTCAGCATAAGCAAATCACCCGAAAAAAAAAAACAACAGGAAACAAAAAACACTAGCAAAAAATAAAGTCAGAGGCAGTCCTATTGCTATCTGCAGCTTCTGGTGGTATTATGAGTATTCAGTATGCTTAGGGGGGAAAAAGCCATTTCTGTTTTTAAATTGCATTTCAGAAGAATCAATACAAACACATTATTATACTTTATATTTCTTTCATGGGATGCTCACTTCTCATCTGCTTTTCCTGAAAAAGAAGAAAAACTGTCACCAATCCTACCCTTTCCTTGTCTACGACAATGAACAGCTCCACGTAGCGGGTCTGCGGCAGCACAGCTCTTCTCCTCTGTCCAAACACATCACAAAGGCAAAACATGCGCGTTACAAAGCTTATGGTTTCCACAGGTAATGATCATGCCCTCACCCCTGGTCACTTATTTCATGTCTTCTAAGAACATCATGAAATTATTTTACATAACACATCCTAGATGGGAAAAGCCAATAACATGCTTTTTAAGTGATATCTGTTATCCTTACTGATCTAAGAAAAATTCTACTTAAATATGAGCTAAAGTTTATAAAGCAGAATTACTGGTTTTCTAATATCAAAACTACACATTCACTCTCTAATGAGAAACCCCATTACTACGTTGAGTGGAAGAAAGAATACCCACCAATAACCCAGAGCAGAAGTGAGCGACCTTTTAAAGGTTGCCACTTAAAACAAACAAACAAAAAAGACTGGTAAATTTGCATAAATGCATGTAAAGAATAGAATAAGCTAAAATTTAACATATTCCAATGATTAAAATTGAAAAGAACAGGGTAGTAGTCAAGAGTGGATGGTAGACAAGGCAAGGAAAATAATGCCATAAAGTAGCACGAGGTGATGTTAATGAAAACGCACCGGAAGAGGCACATGCCTCTCCCTACACAGCAGCATCATCTCGTATGTAGAGGCTGATCTACTCCTAAAACCATTTCAACCTCTTTAAGAAACACTTGCCAAGAGGATGCCACAGAATCCTAATAAAGACTCAAAACGGGGACACAAGTGTCCCGGGAAGCCACATGAAGTAACTCAAGTCTCCACCTCTCTCTGTCTCCCCAACCTAGAGCTCAGGAATCACCATCCCGGTGTGTGTAAAAGGTATCCAAATAAGAAATTCTGCCACTCTTGAAGGAAAGTGTAATGGACTGTTATGTAGCAATGATAAAAAAGAAGTACAATTACTGTTTAAGATTTAAGCCTTAGTTTCTAAAACATATAGAAGCTTGCCATGGCCAGGTGGCTCAGTCGGTTGGAGCGCCCTCCTGTATAACAAAAGGTTGTGGGTTAAATTCCTGGCATGTGCAAGAGGCAACCAATCAATGTTTCTCTCTCGTGTCGATGTTTCCCTCTCGCATGGATGTTTGTCTCTCTCTGTCTCTATGAGGCCTTCCCCCTTCCTCACTCTCTAAAATCAACGAACATATCCCCAGGTGAGGATTAACAATAAAAAAATAAATAAATAAACCCTAGAAGTTCTACTATATTCAATTTTGCAGCACCTGTTAAATGTCTGGCACAGTTGGCAAAAACACAGCAAGAGTAAGTATTTGTTTAATGCAGAAATACATGACTGTTTTTAAAATTCTAGTCTGTGTTCACTGATAGACAAATGGATAAAGATGTATGTAGCACATACATACAACAGAATATTACTCGGCCATAAAAAAAGAATGAAATCTTGCCCTTTGCAATAACACAGATGGACCAGGAGTCATTACACTAAATAAAATAAGCCAGACAAAGACAAATACTACATGATTTCACTTTCATGTGGAATCTAACCAACAAAATAACTAAACAAACAAAACAGAAACAAACTCACAGACACAGAGAACAAACCAACGGTTGCCAGACTGGGGGAGGGGGTGAGAATGGGTGAAAAAGGTAGAAGGGATTATGAAGTACAAACAGCCAGTTATAAAAGGTACAACTTAGGGAATCTATCAATAATATTGTAATAACTATGGGGCTAGACAGGGACTAGGCTTACTGGAGTGAACACTTCAGAAGGTTTATATATGTCTAATCACTATGTTGTACACCTGAAAGTAATATAATATTGCGTGTCAACTGTAATTGAAAATAGAAAAACTAAAGAAGGAAATCCTCAAAACAATGATGCTTCATTTTTATTCAATAGAAATAGCTTTTGGTATTAAGCCGGAGAAAAAAACCCTTTAGTCTGAACCACGAAGAAGTAGATTATTTCCTTACTCGAAGCAGCTGAGTGATGCTAGGAGGCTCTTCCTCTTCATCCGGGGTGGTTTCTTTCTCTGTGTCCTTGTTGGGAACCCCACATGTCAGAGGCTCTTTGTGGACATCATCCATTCGATAAAAGATGTGCTCGAAATGAGAGCTGTTTTGCAGGGGTTCGATCCCATAGCTCACATTCTCTATATGCAGCAATCCTCTAAGGGTTGCGTTGCACATACACAGTTTTTAAGAATGAGGGAAAAATACAGAGGAAAAGGAATCAGAAAACCTGAATTCAAGTCCTGGTTCTTAACATATGTAAGAAAGAGTAGGATGGTATAGAGAAAAATATAAGGCTTTATAGTCAGGCAGACCTAAATTCAAAGTTCAAGACTGCTACTTACTACCCCAACTCCCCAAAAGTTACTTAACCTCTCTGAGTGATTACTGGGTAATGGAAGGCAAGAAAGGACAGTGGCTGAAAGTGTGGGGTCTGCAGCCAGAGAACCAGAGTTCAAATCCCAAATGTCTGCTCCTAGCTGTGGACTCTCAGCAAGTTATTTAACCTCTGCCTTCCTTTACATTCTATACAAAGGTATTCTGAAAACTAAATTATTTAATAGGTGCAAAAGACTTAGAACATTGCCTGGCACACTGTCACTGTTCTGTAAGTGTTACTACTTAGATGGTGACCATCATAGCCATCTTATGCAGTTGGTCTGAGAAATAAAAGGAATATTTATTAGTTCAGTCAATCATGCAACCAACCGACCAGCAGTGTCATACTGCCCGGCCCTCGGGAAACGTAACTGTAATGTTATTATCATTTCACTTGATATGTGATACAATTTCCCCAAACCTCCGTTTGCTCACCTAAACGTGGAAATAATAAGCCTCTTTTCACAGTCATTATCAGGTAAAAAAGAATATAAGTGAAAATTGTATAAACATAAAGTGTTATACAAATTTTAAGTATATTTTAAATAGCGAAAATTAGTTAGCAGTCTCGAAAATGAGTTTTCTCTTTATATGTTAAAGTTCATCAACTGTAATGTTTATCTAAATAACCATGCCGAGAATGATATCTGAAATATAGCCCTGAAGAACTTCAGCAGTATCCAAGTAAAATCTAATTTTGTTAAGTCCCCCAAATGACCTGATTTGGAAACAGAAAAGTAAAGAAGTACAAAACAGAGGGAAGAAAGAACTAATGAGGAAAATCCCTTACCTGAGTCCCAAGCAGCCAGTAAGAGCAACGGATGAGTGATCAGCTCCCTCCACGTAGCCCCGATAGTGACAGTGATCCTAGAGCATAAACACTGCATTATCTCCAGACACTGTTACATTGCTGAAAATCACCACAGAATTACAGAGCCAACAAAATCATTTAAGGTCAGTAAACTAAAAATGTCATTTATATCATTGGCACCTCATAATATCACCTGGCATTCTTTAGACGATTTCAGATTACCTGCGATCACCCTGTAAGTACAAGAATATTTAGGTGCAATTCTAAAGAATACTAAGTACAAACAGCTCTATTCCAATAACTTTTAAGCCTAGAAGCAGAAAAAGACATTGTCACATTTAACACATTGTATCACCATCAAGCCAAGAAGCAATAGCAGCCAAGTGACAATTAATACAGAAGTGGACCTTGTGATGGGCCAATGACGAAAAGGGGGAAAAGAACTTAGTATGTAGCAAAAAGGACTGATTTTGATCAGGTTATTTTTCTTTTCCTCCTATAGATATACTGATATAGATATATAGATATAGTATAAAATAATATATATTATATTACTTTTATTAGTTACACATTTAGCCATCTTTAAAAACTAAAAAGTTCGTATACTTAATTTTGAGCAAGAAATTGACTAGTGGAAATACAAGCACAATATCATTCACTAATATTTAGATTGTTGTAGTACACAATAAGATCTTCTTATCTTCAAAACAATTACAAAGCACTAAAAAACAAAACAGCCAAAGGTGTGTGGTGGGGGAGAACTAGCCCTACTGACCGCTGAAGCATATCACATGCCTTTATAATGGAAATGGCACAGTACTGGCGGTGTGCTGAGAGACCAACCAGTGAACAGAGTACAAAGTCTCAAAACAGTCCAAGGTACATACAGAACTTTTATGATGAAAGTGGGACCTCAAATCACTGTGGCAAGGATGTACTTTTAATAAATGGTGCTTAGTCCACTGGTTAGACATTTAGAAAAGAATAAAATTAGAGCCATACCTCACACCATACATAAGAATAAACTCCAAATGGATCAAGAATTCGAACATAAAAAATAAAACCATACAAGAACTAAAGGAAAATATGGGTGAATTCCTCTTTAACCTGTGTGTAGAGAAAGAGTTTCTAACTATCACTCAATAGCTACATGCAATAAAAGTGACAATTTTTATGGAGCTATGTAAAACAAAGGGTTTTTTTAATCTTCTACATCAAAATAAACACATACACACAAAAACAAGGTCAAATGATAATTCACAAACTGAGAGAAAATATATAAAAGATAAAGGCTTAATATCCTTAACGTAGTATACAGCACTCTTCAACAATGAAGGGAAAAAATTAAAAACCCAACAAAAAACTGTCCAAATACATGAACAGACCATCTGAAAAGGAGGATATAAAAAATATCATTGCATATATGAAAATATTTTCAACTAACTAATGATAAAGTAAGAACTCATGAGTCTGTACTGATATAAATAAGGAAAAACTCTTCCTTACAGTAGAAAGCACTGACGAAAATATGAAAACACTGATGAAATTAAGAAATCACAATTTTAACAACTATTACAGTAATGATTTAAGCAAATACTAAACGCTAACAGTAGTGGGTAAATATTTGAGAAGTAACAGGATATCCGTATGGTCCCAAAGTATCCAACCGTAACATTAAAAAGTAAGAAGAGTGACTTGACAGAAGAGAACCCTGCCGACCACAGAGCTAACGGCAGCACACACTCACTGACCTGACTGACCTGAAGGCCTGAAAACCACTCCATGTTCCTGCACAAAGTCCGGAACCTGAATCTGATCATGGGTAAACTTCAAACTCAATGGCAAGTCATTTAGCAAAAGGGGGACCATAATAAATGTTGTGAAAGACAAGGAAACATAAGTGTTTCCTAATTAAAGGAAGCTAAAGACACATGACTACTAAATGCAACACATGAAGTTGGATTTTCTTTTTTATTGTATAGCTGTTGATATGAACAAGACTGACTCCATCTTTGCGGCCTTGACTTCTTGTTCGAGTTTTTCATGCTGTGAACTGTGACTAACCTCACTTGAAACGTGAGTTTCAGCCAGCATACTGAAGCCTGTAATTAATGATTATCTGTGGTCTTTAAAATTTTACAATATAACCATAGAAATTTTTGTTGGTAACGAACCAGAATGGCGCGGTAACCAAGATAAATACCACAGTAGGTGCTGGCACCAATTGTAAGAAGCCATCCACCATGCAACCACCAGGAGGCATGGTTTCTGGCACACATCACACTTGCTGTCCCTTTGTCTTGTCCACGATCATCAGTACGTTAGCTAAACCACTCAAAACATTTACTGTTAACAACTGTGGGGTAGGGGAGATTAGCTGCAGAGACTATGGGGCTGCCTTCCACCCTGATCCTGTCCCTGTAAGTAACTTACCCTGCAATAAACTCACATTAGTCTATGCAGCTGCCTGTTTCATTTTTCAGTCTCAAGATACCTTTTTGTTTCGGTGGCCACTACCTTTTCACTCCACCATCAGAACACTAAAAAGGATATTATTGGGATGATAGACCAAAAAAAGTCAATAGTTTATCAATTAGATAATAATATTGCTTCAATGTTAATTTCCTAATTTTGAGAATTGTACTATAGTTATAAAAAAATTCCTTGTTTTTAGGAAAGTTACATTGAAGTATTTAAGACTAAAGAAATACCATGTCTGCAACATATCTTAAAAGGTTCAGGGGGGAAAAAAGGAAAGAAGTGATAAAACAAATGTAGTAAAATGTTAATGTTTCAAGAATCTACATGAAAGTGCACATGCATGTTTTATATTAGTCATGCAAATTTTCCTGTATGTCTATAACTAAAGACTTATATACTAAGCACCACCGGTTGAATTTCAACATTGTACAGCTTGTTCCTGTGTGAGGCAACTTACAACCACTAATGTTTCCCTTCCTAGTGTTCTGTACTTAGAGCTTTGCTACTATCTTCTTCTCACTAGAAGAAAAAAATACCTTCTACTATTACAGATGAAGTAACACGTATGAGAAAGTGATACAGTAACCAAAGCACTCAAACATTAAATATTTCCAGTTTCGACTATAATAATAAAAGCTCTGAAACCATGGTCACTAAATCTACCAACTCGGTGGTATTTTTTAATTACTTTTGGAAACACCCAAGTTACTTTTTTAAAAAACAGCATCATATTTTGTAAGTTTATAAAACATCTAATTAAATTGCATGATGACAGTAAGGAACAAATGGCATAAACGGTTTTGGAAACACACAAAGGCCAATCGAAAAACTCAACCAGTGGGAACAGAAGTAGAGAACAGCGTGTTAGCCCACAAGACACCAGTGAGCCTTGGGCAGTCAACACGCTTTTAGAGAAAACAAAGAGCATCAATTACTGGGGCGGGAGGGGGGATTAATTAGAAGACTTTACTAATGCATTTGTGAGGTGCCCCAAAGTTCTAAGATATAGTAATTTGGAGTTTCACTTCACACAGCAATCTATATAAAGTGGTCATTAAAACTTTCTTTGTGAAAAATGGCCTTGTAGAAGACACTGGTAATGAAAGCCACGTAACATCTTTACAAATTACCTTAAACAACAGAATCATAAGGAAAAGCATTCAAATTTTCTCAGTGTAAATTAACTGCATTTTATGGACAAAAGCATATATCATTATGATATTTGACAATCTAGCCATATGCCAAAAAAATAAAACCAGTAGCAAAGTTTTAATTGATATCTGAAATCTGCAGTCACACTTTCATTTATCTGAACAAGATTCAATAACCAAGAAATAAATGAAAGACTCCATTTATCTTAGTTTGGATTTTTCCAACACCCAGGGAAGCATAATTCCATAATACTTTAAGATAATAGTTCCATAAGTTTCTAACTGAAATCTACTTGTAGCACTTTTAAGCATATATATTTTCAATAATAACAAGTAATGATATTTATTGAGTTAAAATGGTTAAAATGACTTCTAAAAATTTCAAAAATATTAACTCAGTTAAGCCTCCTAATAACTCCATGAAGTTGCAATTAATTATTCCCACTTTAAGGCGAGGACACTAAGGCACAAACAGGTTAAAGTAAACTTGATCAGCTCATAAATGACAGAGCCAAGTTTCAAGTCCAAACAGTGTGCATCTCCAGAACAACAGCAGCAGAAGCCTTTCTGACATCACTGCTTCGGTTGAGTGGCATTAATTAGATGGTCTTTGGCCTCAGGCCAAAGCAATCTCTGGCTGAATCATAGTATGGATGAATGGATGGATGAATGATCTGTAATCTGGTTTATGCTATCTTGTAAATTTAAGCTCCTCTACTGATTTGCTATTAAACAATGAACAAACAGAACATTAAGATAAAAGAATCCGAAAAGGATAGGGTTAAGTCAGCACTCCTTATTTTTTAAAGCACTAATTCATTTTTTATTTAATTAATTAAAGATTAATTACTCTAAAATAAAGGCTTTGCCTCCTATTGATCTGAGGAGTGCTGCGAAAGTGAAAAACTAGCAAAAACAATTCAAGCCAGCAAAACATTACAAAGCTCAGGGGGGAAATTACATGTTTAATGGGAACAAAGACTTCTTGTGAAAACTATTGCAAAAGAAAAAAATATATAATACCTAACTGCCAAAAACATTGTAAAACACTCTCCCTGAATAAAACTAGAAATGTTTATGCTCTGATTAAATAACACATAAACCCAAATGGGTATCTGCCAGTTTTTTTCCAGGTACACTTCGCCAGTTCTGTCCTCAGGAACATTGCTCTCGGATGCAGAGAGTACCACACATCTTTAGGAAAGAATAGTTTTCAGCAAAAAATTGGAATATATGACAGCAAACCAGTGTTTGATCTTTACTACTTACTACTAATGATAAGTCAAGGGTTTAATATGGAAGTAAGATTTTGGACATAGTAAATTTCAGCCAAAAAACCAAATCTTTCAAAATATATCAAATTTTCCCCTTTCATAATCAATAAGGATTATCATTAAATAGAGGATTATTCTCCCACTCTTTAAAAAAACAACACTTGACTCTCCTGAGTACCTGGAGGGCGGTAAGAGATGGTTTAGTTAACGTAAGTGCACCTACCACCCCACCACCCCCAGGACAACTCTGTGTACCACAGTGTCAAAGGTGACCCTTGAATGAGATATGTAACAGTGCTGAGTACCTAAGCAGAAGACACTTTAAAATTATAATCACTTTAAACTCTGTTGTAGGACCAGGAATAAAAGATATTACCTGTATCTCGGGGTAGTCAGAGATCAGGGCCCCTTCCTTGTTGTAGGTATAAACTACAAAATCTTTGGGCAAAAGGTCTCTGGAAGAGGAATAAAACACAGCATTTAAAATTATTTATATACAACTAAGGGTACAACTCAAAAGGCATGACCCCTAGAAGAAATGAGCAGAATAGAAACTTTCATCTGATATGCTGTATTTTAAAGATGGAGCCACCATAAAACTAAACACACCCAGACGTGCCCCTGAGAGCACCTGCCTCGCTCCCTCACCAAAATGTTAAACTGCATGTTTGTGCTAATGGTTCTAAAATGCTGGTTACAAAAAATAATGACATTAACGCAAACAATGCCCTTAAATTTCTCTGCAACATCTCATAGGAAAAGCACAGATTGGGTTATACAGTACATTATATTTCTAGAAGGAAAATAGTACTTTTACTCTTTTCTAAAAGCCTCGCATAAACAAGAAGCACTTGTTGCCTTCACCTCCTGTGTACAGAAGCAAAATATGTCAGTTGTTGGAGGAAACAAGTATTGCTGGTGCCTGAAGCTTCCCTGCATGTTAAGGGTGCTCAGTGGTGTAACCCACACGTGTAAAGGGTTCTCTTTGTTAAAGAAAAAATATTCACTGACGCTTGTTAAAGATGACAAGGCAGACTTGTATTCAGGTATAGGGACCACTGCAGGAGAATGTCAGAGTGGGGCAGAGATATCAGGTTCAACTCCAAATGCAGCATGGGCCAGTAGGAATTGACAGATAAAGAGCTGGGTGGGGGTCAGTAGAAAGAAAACGACTAGGAAGAAACATCAAGGGGTGAGAAAGGCTCTGGCTAAACCGGCCTGACAGACCTGAGGGTGGTAGAGATGAGGAACCTGTTCAGACACCCAGAGTGATCAGGTAACACGGGGAAGGGGGGTCGTTCTTGCTAAAACTGGATTCCACAAGGAAGTGCACCAGTGTGCCCAGGAGAAGGTTCAGGACCCTGACTGAAGTTCCGCAGAACTGGAGGAGCTCCATTCTCAGCCCCTCCTTATCTCCAGGGCTTAAGGACTAGTCAGGGATGCCAGGAGCTAGCAAGTGATTTATACTGCACTGTTTATGGTTCCAAACTTTCTAAACTCCCCAGAAGGCATCCAGGACCAGTTTATCTATATTGTTTAAAGCTGGGTGGATTGATGGTTTGCATGCACTATAACCAGCCAAAAAGCCTGACTTTAGCTATGTGACTAATGTAGCATAAAAGACCCTCTTAACACTTGTGCCTGGGCTCCCCTGCAAATGTGATGCTTCACACGTCTCAGTGTTTTGCGATCTGAAGACAAGACACTTCTCTGAGTGGGGTCAATACATGGCTCTTCCACCACCCCTGACAAGGGCTGGCCAGGCAGCCCCTGGCCAGAAGGAATGTGTGTTGTTTTGGGAATGGATTGTAAGTAACTCCCTCCTTATCTCCTTTTTGGAGTGCTTTCTGGTCCTGTGACTGCTTCTTGACCATCTCCTCCTGCACGTACACAATGATGTAATGTAGCTCCAGGCCACACGTAGATTTGTGCAACCTGGACCTATACTGTCTTTGTCTGGCTGGGACTCCTTATAACGAGCCTCAGATGGGAGGAGGTGCGGCCTCTCTTGCACCCCGCTGGTGCACTCCCCTGTAATATGAGTAATAAATGGCATGTACACATCTGCTAGTCCTCGGGTGGTTTCTTCAAAATATCACAAACACTTTCAGCAGCTTCCCAGCCTGGGGCTCCTGTGCTACACCGGGCAACTGAGAAAGGACCGTGGCGGGCTCTGCCCGGAAGTCTCTGAACCTCTTACTGATTGGTTGCCCTTTCTTTTTCCTGATGCACTTCTCTTTTACATTCATTAAAGTCTACTGGGCTGAGCTTGGGAGTAGCCTGTGGAGTCTTGAGTCCTTTCAATTATCCAACCCTGTTCAGTCATTGCACCATCTCCCCTTCCCTCCCCCTCCCCCACACATACACACCCCCTTGGTTCCCTCTTGCAGAAAATTTGAAAAGAACACACTGGAGATACCTGGCTTTGTTCTGCCCTTCTTCCTCTTTGGAAATCACTGCCCACCCAGTGACACCTTCTCCAGAAGGCTCACCAGCATGCAGCACTGACCATGAACAACTAAATCTGCCTACTAATACTGGTTCAGGATTCCTAGGTCCATCAGGTTCTTGTTCTAAGCTGAATCCCCCGAACCAGCCTATATCAGTAATGAAAGGGATGTTTTAACCTCCTGTTTAACTTACCTTCCTATTTTATTTTTATATTTGTTCAGCACAGGCAGAGAAAAGGTGTGCTGCATTCTTTTCTACAACCCCAGCCTCTGATTATGCACACTCCTCTTCAAGGAGGGTTCACAGCTCTAACCAAATTCTCAAGGGATTTGTGACCTCAAAAAACTTAAGACCATAATTCTAGAGGCAATGGGAAGAAAAATAAGCATTTGCTCAAATACAGTCACTCTTGCACTGAACTTCATAATTTCCCCATTACTAGAGAAAGTCTACCTGAGTCATTTTATTATAGGCTACCTATCCTAACTTCTTTTCATTAGTGATCACTAGATTTAATGACCACCAATTTTCCCACCAATTCAAGAAGTATTAGCAATGCAGACTATACATAGTATATATAATCATTATATCATTAGACTTCATTAGACTTTAGGTTAAAAAACTTGGACTTGCACCCCAGCTTGAACATGTACAAACTAAGTGATACTGAGCAAGTCACCTAACCTTCCTGAACCTCAGAATTCTTATGAATAAAGTGAGGAAAACAGACACTACTCTACAATGAAGTTGTTATGACAATAGAACAAATGAAATAAAAGTTATGAAAATGCTTTATAAACTGAAAACTTTGCAAACATAAGGAACTAAAATATTGTATTAATCTACATCTCCTTGTACAAAGGAAGAGGTGGAGAAAATATTAAGACCTATAACACTGCTATATATATTGACATCATTATATAGGGGTCAGGTAGGATCTCTCAGGAGTTTGGTGAGACTGAGATAAATAATGCACTTAAAAGTACCTGGCACAGTGCCTAGGATATAGAAAATGTTTAATAAATGTTAACGTCTATCAAATACAGCGGCTTCGAAAGACCTCTTTGTCTGAATGTATTTGTCACACTGCCTGAAATTCTGTCAGGGAAACTCAGGCCCTTTGACTCAGCCTCTTCGTCTGAAGTGAAAAGTGTTACCAAATGGGAGGGTGCACACAAATCAGCTGGAAAACTTGTTAAAACACAGACTGCCGCCGTGACGTCGCCCCAAATTCTGATTCATTCTAGCACCGGACCTGAGGATTTGCACTTCTAACAAACTCCCAGGTGCAGCTGCTGGTTCCAAGACAGCACCTGGAAAAATACCGTATTTTTCATACTGTAAGATGCACTCCCCCACAAATTTGGGAGGGGTGGGGGGGGTGTTTTATAGTCCGAATGCAGCTTACCTGGCTCACTGGGGTGGGGAGAAGTGGCCTACATTATTTACGTTATGAAATATTTTAACACATTTTTTTGCTTCAAAATTTTTTTCCTATTTTCCTCCTCTAAAACCTAGCTGTGTCTTATGGTCCAGTGTGTCTTACTGCCTGAAAAATTTGGTACTTCTTTAGACAGGAGCACTTTACATCCCATCATTCACACCTTAGTATAAATGAGTTTCTTAGGTGGCTCTTTTTTCTGGGATCTCTCACTAAAGATACTGGAAATTTTGCTCCATGAGAAAAGGGAGAGAGGGGTCAAAAAAGGCCACGGAAAAGTGGAGAGCTCGGCACAGTGAGAAACCTAGCGTTTCAGAAAGGCAGCAGAACGGGCCAGATTACCCAAGTGGGAACAGGTGAAAATATGCCAAAAGAAGGAGAAAACATTAAAACAGGGAGGTGAGAGACTACTGTTATGGAAGGAATCTTTGTACTCCCACTTCCCAATATCCATACCTTGAAGCCCTAACTCCCGGTGTGGCTGCGTTTGCAGATAAAGCCAGTAAGGAGGTAATTACAGCTGAATGAGGCCCTAAGTGTGCAGCCCTAAGCCAACAGAATGAGTGTCCTTATCAGAAGAGACACCAGAGCGCTTGCTGCTCCCCCACCCCCAACCCCACACGCACACACACAGGGAGAGGGCATGGTAGCACACACGGAGATGTCCCTGTGCAAGCCACATGGACAGCCCTCACCACATAGCAATCTTGCTGGCACCTTGAACTTGGACCTCCAACCTCCAGAGCTCTGATGAATACATAAATTTCTGTTGTTAAGTCTGTGGTACTTTGTTATGGCAACTCCAGCAGATTAATAAAACTACTAAAGAATTCTTTACCCTGATCGGTTGTTCCTTGGGTTGATAACAATTAAAAAGTTTTCTTCTTAAATGCAATTTTCTCTTACTTTAACTATTTTCCCTTGCTCTCTTGTCAATGGAAATATAAAATAATATGGCTTTTTCCAAACTTGTACTGTTATTATCCTCAGTTTTTATCAATCTACTAAACAACATCTAACTAGAAAATAAACCTATACATTACTGAAACAAAATTACTGACAAGCCAGAGCAAATTAAATTTCTTACTTATTCCTTTCCAGGTGAATAATATGTTCTTTTCCTTCAGCGTGAATGACATAAGATACCTAAATGTACAAAAAAGGAGAAAAGAACAATAAAACACCATCTTATAAATTACTTTCCAACAAGTATTTACAAGACATGGAAAACTCCAGCCTCCATTAAAATAATTAGGTGCTGACTAAAGTTGTTTCACAGGAAAAACTTACAGCTGCTCTTAAACAATAGAAAATATTCTGACCATCCCTGCTTTCCATTAATAGCCTATTATAGAAAATTGCCTGCATATTTATTTAAACTCTTCTTAAATTCATTATAGAACTGAGCTGAAACTTCAGGAATTACTTCTGTACAGTCCATCCATGTATTACTTAAACACTATAAAGTAGTTCTTCCTTTTGTTTCAATGAAATAAACTTAGTTTCATGAAATTATCCCTAGTTCTAGTTATCTAAAAGTTGAAACGAAGTACATCCACCCACAATTCTGTATCTTCACACGACTTACCACATTGCATCAATTCTAAAACACATTTCCCCCCACAAATGAACATCTCTGAATTCAGGATGCATCCTACAAAGGCACAGGAGTCTGACTGGTAGCACTCTGCTTCTTTCTTAATCAGGGGTACATTAAATGAGAGCAGGCTTTACCATAAATGGCATCTCGGAGTCAATGAAGTGACATAAGGTGACATGCACTTACACATCCTCAATCTCAAGCGATCCTCTTCTCTACCTCAAACAACTCTGAAACAGCTTCCCCGGCAACTCATCAGTTCATTAGCCAGAAATGTTTAATGTGCTCACTAGAACCAGGAGATCCAACTTGCCTTAACTCTTTAACAAAAGAGACCATCATGGAAAAACTCAACACGTAATGCCATGTGAAGTGTCCTCCAATTTCCCCCACTGTGTCTGGACTCTAAGTTAATATCTTGCCAAGAAATAGCATGATTTTCCTCTCCAGGGGCACATCGACATCTGATTCCCAGGCCAGGATCCCAGATCCTGGCATTCCACTTCCACATCCTGAGTGGGAGCCTGAGAAGCCTTTGTGATCTTCCTGGATCTCCACTGAGGCATCAAAAACACCAAGCTCCTCCCATCACCCCAGCTTTGGCATGTGCCTTTCTATCCTTTCTGCTCTTGGCCAATCATCTGATATAAAAACATCACTGTCATCTCCTCTGAGAAGAATTCTGAGAGTCAAAACTCTTTCGTGATACTCTATTCTTTCCCCAAATATCTGCCTGGATTGCTCATCCCCCTCCTTCTGGTCTTCATTCATGGGTGACCTTCTCAGTACCCAAGCTGTACTGCTAAAAAAACACAAACCATCCTTCTCCACCCCACCCCTATTTCTACATTCCTTATTCCCCTTCCTGCTTTTGATTTTCTTCAGAGCACTTATTACCACCTTAACAAGCACTCTGTATTATTAATCTATATTACTTGTTTATATTTTCTCGCCCCCTAAAGTGGAAGCTCCATAAGGGGCACGGACTTTTGTCTGTTTCATTCCCCGCCATACCCCCCCATGCCCAAACAGTGCTTCCCCTTCTTCAAATACCTATAGGGGCACATGAATGAAGTTTATTATGATCGCAAGTACTCTGTGTGCAGTACTGACAAAGATACGATCAGAGACACAATAAAAAAGACAACATAGTCCCTATGCTAGTTAAGAAAGAGAGAAAAATAATGAAGCAAGCACAAAATAACCCCATTCTAAGGCAACAAAAAAATCAAATGGTAGGATGCCCGATTCAAAAAAAAACCAAGCAAACATTATAAATTGTTCCACTGGAAGAAGATCTTAGACTCATGTATTTCTTACTTATAGAGGAAAAATGAAAGGCTGAAACTAAAAGCTCCTGGATCTAAACTCCAGTGTTCTTTTTACTATGCCCAGTCCCCAAACAAGTACAAGGTGTCTTATATTTATAAATGTATCAGCAATTCAGTGGGAATAAACTCTATGCTTCATTATCTGTTCCTGTTAAATGGTAATAGGGTTAAATTATAATTCTACAAAGTTAAAGAGTTTGAAAAATCAGTTTTAGCCCAAACAGTTTGTTTAGAGTAAGACAAAATAGTATAAAAAAGTATTTCTGTGCATTGGTTACCCCCTTAATATCAGAGTATGTTTCTTCCAATATAGAGATAAAACTTACTTTTGATTAAACATTCCCAATATGAAATATATGCATGGAATATACTACTATTCTCCAATGTCTAGGAAAATACAATATGAAGTATTTTACCAATCACAAACTAAAAGAGAGGTTACTTATTATTATTACAAGATCATTGTAAGTATCAGCTGTCAGTTAAGGGTTAGGCGTCTGTGTAATCAGCTTCCTACCCTGGTCCTAGAATTTTTTTTAACCATTTCATTCTGTTATGTTTCAAGTTGACCATTTTGTCTTTAAAAAAAGATACCAAGGATCAATATGTCACTTTTACTAGAGTAACATCCAATAAATATCAGTGCCATATGCATGGTTCTATACTAACTTTTGACCTATATTTACTCACTGAATCAATCATTACTGAAAATAACACTCCTGTCCTTAAAAACACTAAAATACATACATATTTCTCAAGAGACAACTTACCTGTTTTGAATAGGGCCTACGGGCTTCTCTTCGTTCTCTAGTTAATCTCCAAGGAGTTATAATTTCATAAGAAGAGAGATGTGAGGTCTGTTGAAAGCCTACAGAAAAGGGAATAACAAATATAAAAAGTGAACCAAAAAAGAATACTACGTAATACCAAAATATAATGGAATTCAAAAGCTAAATGCTCATATCAGAAAACTCATTTGATTCAACATAGTGCTGGAAGTTCTAGCCACAGCAATCAGACAAGAAAAAGAAATAAAAGGCATCCCAATCGGAAACGAGGAACTGTGATTGCTTATAGACAACATAATAGTGTACATAGAAAACCCTAGTCTGCACAAAAAACTACTCGACCTGATAAGTGAATGTGGCAAAATAGCAGGATACAAAGTTAATATTCAGACATTGAGGGTATTTTTGTACACTAACAATGAAATATCAAAAAGAGAAACTAGGACAAAAATTCCATTTACTATAGCAGCAAGAAAAATAAAGTACTAGGAAGAAACTTAACCAAGGAAATGAAAGACTTGTACTCAGAAAATTATCAAACACTTAAGAAAAAAAATTTAAAAGATACAAATAAATGGAAACACATACCATGTTCATGGAATGGAAGAATTAACATCATCAAAATGTTTACCACCCAAAGCAATCTATAGATTCAACACAATTCCTATTAAAATACCAATGGCATATTTCACAGATCCAGAACAAATATTTCAAAAATTTATATGGAACCAAAAAGACCCTATATAGCCTCAGCAATTATGAGAAAGAAAACCACAGTAGGAGGGATCACAAACTGGATGGCAAACTATACTACAAGGCTACTGTAATCAAAACAGTCTGGTACTGGCATAAGAACAGACACATAAATCAGTGGAACAGAATAGAGAGCCCGCAAATAAACCCATGTCTCTATGGTCAATGAATATTCAACAAAGGGGGCAGAAGCATACAATGGAGTAAAAATAGCCTCTTTAACAAATGGTGTTGGCAGAACTGGACTGGTACATGCAAAAAAATAAAATTTGATCACCAACTTATACCATACACCAGAATAAATTCAAAATGGATGAAAGACTTAAACGGCATAACACCATGAAAGTCCTAGAGGAAAACATAGGCAGGAAAATTTCAGATATCCCATGTAGCAATATTTGTGCCAATAGATCTCCTAGCGCAAGAGAATTAAAAGAAAAAATAAACAAATGGGACTACATCAAATTAATAGGCTTCTGCATGGCTAAAGAAACCATCATTAAATGAAAAGGGAACCAACTATATAGGAGAATATTTGCCAATAATACATAAGACAAAGGTTTGACCTCCAAAATATATAAAAAACTTCTACGACTCAATGCCAGGAAATAACAATCCAACTAGAAAATGGACAAAACACCTGAACAGACACTTCTTCAAGGAGAACATGCAGATGGCCACAGACATGCAAAAAGATGCTCAGCATCACTAGCCATCAGAGAGATGCAAATTAAAACCACAATGAGATACCACCTCACACTGGTGAGAATGGCCATCATTAATAAATCAACAAACAACAAGTGCTGGTGAGGATATAGAGGAAAGGGAACCCTAGTGCACTGTTGGTGGGAATGCAGACTGGCGCAGCCTCTGTGGAAAACAGAATGTAATTTCCTCAAAGAAGTAAAAATTGAACTGCCTTTTGACCCAGTGATTCCACTGCTGGAAATATACCCTAATCCAAAATCACCAAAAGAACTTATGCACCCCTATGTTCATAGCAGTGCTATTTACAATAGCCCAGCGTGGAAGCAGCTTAAGTGCCCATCAATAAATGAGCGGATCAAAAAACTGTGTTACATTTACCCGATAGAATACTATGCAGCAGAAAGAAAGAAGAAACATGTACCTTTCACAGCAGCACGGATGCCACTAGAGAATATTATACTAAGTGAAAAAATAAGCCAGCCAGTGAAAGGCAAATACCATATGATCTCACCTATAAGATCATGTGGTATGGAACAAAATAAACTAATGAGCAGAACAGAACCAGGGGCATGGAAACATAGAGCAGACTGACAGCAACCAGAGAGCAGAGGGGAGGGGGATAAGGGTGGAAATAAGGAGAAGGGGCTAGTCAAAGAACATGTACGAATGATCGATGGACATGGACAACAGTGTGGGAATTGAATGTGGGAGCAGGGGGGTGGGCTGGGTAAAGAAGGCAAAGAGGGAAAAATTGGGACAACTGTAGTAGAATAATAATAAAAAACTTTTAAAAACCTCATTTGACATTTCCATATTAAAACATACACACACACACACACTTGTACATGCAAATAGCAATACACTACATAAATGTAAGGGGAAAATGAATTTCCAAAAAAGAATGTCCATCTTTATCCAAATAGTCGATGCACAACAATCATTTTCAAACAATTTTTAACTATAAATCCTAACGCTTTCTCTCAAATAAAATCTTAGGATGTAAACACACACACACACAAGACCTGCTTTGGAGGGGAAATGGGTGTGACAGAGGCATCCCCCCACCTCCCATTCTCCACCCTCACCCAGCATAAATGACATTTCCACCCTCAGACAGTACTGGAACACTTACACAGTGGACAAGGACAGTAGGAGGGAAAAGTTACTTTTAATGCCTTGTGGATTAACTCTAATAAACACAACAATGTAGCCATTATGGCAAATGAAATTAATGCCATTTAATCTATCCTAAGAAAATTAACTTCAGATAGAATTTATTAACAGTGAAGAAAAAACCACTCATGAAGATTTACTCCCAATTTCAATCCTACTCAGTCTACCATACAGCGGAATCGTATGTAAGTGAGACTTGGGTTCTAGAGTCATCGCTTGGGCAAAAAGTGAGTAGGACTGAAATTGGCCACGCAAATTCCTCAGGAGGAGACCCCACGTTAGAGTCGGAGACACAGCCTGTCCATACATCCAGCAGATCTATTCTTCCGCATCACTGAGATGACCTATCAAGTCTTTCAGTGAACCCGATGAAGGAGATGGTCACAGTCTAAGGTCCATGGATGAAAACTCTATACAATAATCTCTACAGGCCAAAACCACATTCAGTATGAAGAGGCCCAAGTCTAGCACACACCAACAGAAAGACTAAGGGAAGAAGAGAGATGCAAATTTCACTCAACAGATCGATTTAGGAAATAGATTCATTAAGTGGAATTTGATAAATTAAAAGAGGCCTATAAATATATGGACCTGTGTAGATCCTAGTTCAATTAAATCAACAGGGAAAAACAAATTCTGAGACAATCAGGGAAATTTTAACACTGCACAGATATTTAACGATCTTCAGGAATTAGTGTTAGTTTTTTAAGTGTAATAAGCATGTTGTGGGTAAAATTTCCCTTTAGAAATTCTCATGTCTTAGAGACTCATTCCTAATATTCGAGGGCAAAATTGTTGTCTAACAGGATGTCCAACCTGCAGCCCCCAGGGCCAAATGGAGCCCAGGATGGCTATGAATGTGTTCCAACACAAAATCATAAATTTACTTAAAACATTATGAGACTTTTCGTGTGATTACGTGTTTCACTGTACTTAATGTGCAGCCCAAGACAGCCCTCCTTCTTCCAGTGTAGGCCAGAGACGCCAAAAGGTTGGACACCCTGGTCTAGGATTTGCAACAAAATAATCAAGAGTGTGTTTGAGGGAGAAGATGCAAATGAAATTATATTAAAACTGGGTAATGAGTCCACAGGAGTTCATTACTCTTCTCTCTACTGTTTTGTATGTCTCATATTTTCTACAATAAAATAATCATTTTTAAGTAGTTATCTATAGGGAGAGGGACAAGAGACTTTTATTTTTCACTGTATAAAACTTTGAATTATAGTGTTCATGAAATATTGTACCATGTGTTATATGAGACTATAGAATGTGTCATAAATAAACATGTAAATATCAGGTAAATATACCAAACTTATTTAAAGTAGTTACTATGATGGAATAAAACCAGGAAGTACTAAGGTAAGGATTTGGACTTTATTTCCTGCACTCTGATACGTCTGCAGTGTTTGAATTTGTTTTTATAATAAGCATGTATTTTCCAACCCCTGTATTACTTTTAAAATTAAAATTGTAAAAAAAAGAGTGTTTCTTCAATAAAAAGCATAAACTATTTAAACACTCTGATTACATAAGTATCTCTCAACAGCTCCTTCCCTTCCATCAGCCTTAACCTCATATCAAGGCTGCTACAACACCTTCATCCCTGGTCTCCTTTCCCCCACAATCCCCCTCTTTGGGTCCAATCCACATGTTCATTCACTCAGTAATGGCCTTATGCCCCTCAGATTTCTGAAAACAGAGATTAAAATGAAGTATTTACATCAAACTTTCCCTAAGATAACACTGTACATGTATAAAAATGTCTACAACTTTGTCTAGCTTGGGATTTTAAAAGATGCAGTATAAATAGGAAAACATGAATTGTATCATATGCAATACAGTCATGTCATACTAACAGTTTTCAAACTCTTTACCCACCAATCCCTTATGGCTTTATAATATGTATAATATGGCTGCATGTATACGATGTATACTATGTATACTATGTATATGTGGCTGCAGATCATTACATAAAAACACCAGAAATGGTCGAAAATAAAATGCTCACAAAAGCAATCATGGGCTACTCCAAGGCATATTTATGACATACTATGATAAAACATTCAGCTTTTTGGAGCTGTCAATTGGGAACCATGTCAAAAGAAACCCATGACCTGAATAGATGCAGGCTTCAAATTGCTGGGTAGAAATATCCTTTAGTCCTGAATTAACTGAGCTACGGGACTATTTCTTCACCCAGAATAAATCCTTCAAGTTTCTCGATTTTCTAAAAACACGAATTTCAACATTTCCTTAGTCATTTCATTCTGGATCACAGTGATCCACCCAACTACTAGGGCAGTCACTCTAGAGATGCGGGCAGGAATAGGTGGCAGAAATAAAGCGCTTTCTGTAGGCAACAGATTGGAAGCTCTGTGTGAGACAAACGTAAATCAACGTAAATCATCCGGTGCATCATTACAGACGAGGATATGCATGACTC